CATTTCCAATTTATTCAAAATGGTCTCTTGCCATTTAACTTAAATTCTAAGCACCCAAAAATATGCTCAACATTTAAACACTACTCTTCATCTTCTAATCCATTTCAACTTAAATTCTAAAATTTTCATATTCAGACAACTTGCACTACCTTTAAAGAATCAATATTATGTATTGATATACACACTGGAATTTAATTTCGTTTCTTCCGTTGAAAACTATACTCTAATAAGAATCTATCCATATAAAGAAATCCTTCTAACTCATTATGTACAATTTATGGTGAATTTTCAAAGTTGACCAATAAAATCTGTTTTGTGCAAACTTGCTGCCCGTTTTCCTGACATTTCCTCAGTTAAAAATTCATATTTTTTTGTATACACCTTGAAATTGACCCCGTTTGTTTTAAACAAAACTAGATTGATATAAGAAGAAATATATAAAAAATACCTCCAAATAATTTTTATAGAATTTATGGTAAATTTTCAAACTCACTGCCAGATTCAAAAATCTAATTGTCTTCATTAATTTGCATCCTTAGGTTCTTCATCAATTCTTACAACACTTCTAATATCAAGAATTGATCTTTAATCATAAAAATACACTTTCGTTCAATATCTTACCAACTTGAGCATGAAACATGAAGATTTTTATGCCAAATGAAAGAGAATTCATGTAGTTTATTTTTCGTTAATAACCTAACTTAAAATTACAGTAAAAATAGACCAAAATTAAAAACAAAGCTTCTCACCTTTTAGAATATGAACTCTCGTCCCTGGAGGAGAAGAAGCTGAAAGTGCCAATCTTTCTTGATAATTCTCATAATAGTATTATTAACACATTGTAACATCCCAAACTACGGTTAGTGACTTTATTGTAAAGATTTAGAATTTGTTGATTTAAATAGGAATATTTCATTGGATTAAGTGGTGAATATGAAAGAATTAAAAGGATAGTATGGTAATTTAGCTTAAAAGATATTGTCATCTCTCTATTTAGAGAGATACACGTCGAAGAGGAGATAATTCTCCAGAGTTATCTTCTGCTCTTTGTTCTTCATACGTAAGGCTTGAAGCATGAGGTGAGTTTTCTGATTTTTTGGTTATTTGTTAAATTAAAAGTTAGGTTTTGATCATTAGAAGATAACTAAGCTTAAGGAAAGCTTAAGTTGTCTTATAATCAAAAGATGAAGAAGTTATAAGAAATTAAAGAAAACTGGTTTTTATATGAAATTATGGAAAATAGTTGATAAGTTGAATTTGAAGTTAAGTTTGATTTGTCATCATGCTAATTAAGGAATATGAAGTGTTAGAATTATATTTAGAACATATTGAAATTTGAGTATGATTCTTGATTTACATATGAGGGATAGATTTTGAGGTTATGGATGGTTTTCATGGATATAAATTGGTTTAAGTAATGGTGGTTAGGTTTAATGACATGGTAGGGGTTTAAAATAGAAGAATTGAATGAAGAATTGATGATTTTCGGGCTTAAAATACAATTTCTGGGTAGAGGGAACTGATACCCTATGAATGGGTATCGATTCCCCCCTCTTGAACGAAAAATTCCAGTATGTTCAGGGGGTATCGATTCCCCCCTAAATGAAAAATGGAATTTGGTTCTTTAATTTGGTTTAAGTTGTTAACATCAAGTTTAAGGTTTAGGCTTCTGATAGTTGTTTTGAAATGTTATATTTATGTAGATATTGAGTCTAAACAAGTTCCGGAATAATCAAAGGATTAAGATCGAATCAAACAATAAGGCTAAGGTGAGTGCAATTTTAATTGTACTTATATTATTGAACGAACATTGACTTGCGATGAGCTAGTGATGGAGTTACTATGGTAAGAAGTGACTCCTAAAATGTTATTTGATTTGTGATTCTTATATGTGCATGAATACATGAAATGGGTATAGTTATTATATATGTTATATGATATGCATAGACATAAGAGCATAAACATAAGATATATGATATGATATACATGATTATATGCATATGTGATATATGCTATGAGACATGACCAATGTGAAATGAGATAAGCTATGTGATATGATATGAAATACATGGTTACACATACATGTGGTATGTGACAGAAAAGAAAGAACAAGTGATGAGAAATGTATTCATCGTAAATGCCCATAGTATATGATACGAGAGCTATATGTATAGTTGGCATGCCAAGAGTCGAGGGTGTTGTAGTCCTTCGGGACGTAGTGGTCCTACGGGACATATATAACAGTCCTTAGGGACTAATACTGAACAAATGTTCGGTGCCCATGAGGGAATTTATACGAGCTGTGGTGACAGCATTAGTGCACAACCTTAATGTACTCACATACCTTTGTTCTCAACAATAATATACATGGGCAATTGAAATATAAATTAAAGTGAAAGTGATGCAAAAAGGTAAGTTTCATGTGTGCATGACTTGGTTATATATGTCATATGAAATATATACATGCATATTGAAATATCATGATCAAATGGTAAGAATGCATATTCATGAATCTACTGTTACATGTTTATTTATTGTCTCACTAAGTCTATGACTTAGCGTGTAAGTGATTTACACGTATGTACCAAGAAACGAGAAGAGCAAGAATAGAAGTAGCAAGGACATATTATTACTAGAAGATCAGATCAGAAGTAATCGACAAAGTAGGTATTTTGTTGTGTATAGAGTGTTGGCATGTAATAAGTCGTTAATTATGAGCACTCTGATCAAGTTTGTATTTTGGGTCTCTTTTATGTAAATTAACGTATTTTGTTTTAAACAAAGTTTTAAATTCCCGGGGTTTTTCTTTAAGAGTCAAAGTGACACATCAGACTCGTATTCGATTCGGGTACGGGTTAGGGTGTTACACACATGGCATAATTTATAATAAAATTGAATTTTTTATTCAAATTAATTAGAAATCCATTTTTGCCATTAATAAAACTTCATAATTACAAATTTGTCACTCTATGACATCATCCCTTACCTCATCATATCCAGAAAATATCTTAATTATGATTTTTCATGTTTGTCCTTGCAATTTTTGAAAATTACAATTTAGTCACCAAATTCCAAAGTTTTGGCTTAACATGAAAAATCGACCTTAATTCCATTGATCCATGTTAAATTTCACTTTTCTAAAATATAGAAATAATATTTTCAACCTTTATCTAGCATCCCTCACAATTTCGTGAAATTCCGATTATCCGATTTCAATACCGAAATTTACCTCGTTATAGCTTTTAACACAAATCTCGTACCGAAAATCTGATTCTCACTAAAATATTTGTTTTAATTCAAACTATTCATTTACAGGCTAAAATATATAACTTTTAAAAATTACAAATTTTGGTTCTTAAACTTTTCAAAGTTTATACTTTAGCCACTAAACTTTCAAAACTTATATTTTAGTCACTAGCCAAAATTTGGGGTATTACAATTAATATAATTTACTCTAAGCTTTTAATGGTAGAAAAAAGTAAGCCCCCAAATTAATTATTTTATCTTCACAAATTATCTATTTATATTCACTTTAAAATATCACATTAATAGATGAAATATAATAATTTTAACAGTACTACCAATTAAATTTAAAATTTTAAATCTAAAAATAAAGAAATTAAATTACTAAAAATAATAGTAAGAGAACTAAATACCAAATATATAAAGAATACAAGAACTCAAAACATACATTAACCAAATAATAATTTAAGTTATAAAAATCATTTCCTCCCAAGTCCTCTCTTCCAACTAATAAATTTCTTACCTCGGCGAAGAGGTTTAATTTCCCTTAAATTCCTATATTCTTTGCATTTTTTAAATTTTAATCATTCTGTTTTTATTTTTGGAAATCTAAACTCTCTAGTTGTTTCATTAGGAAATTAAAGTTGAATTAATAATACTATTAACGGATTTTTTTATTAATCTTAAATATATTTTTATATTAAAAAACGCGAATTAAAAATTGAAATTCAAGTAATAATGCATATTTTAAATTTAAACTAAGATTAATTAATAATATTATTAATTAAATTTTAATTTTCAAATCATAATTAAAGAGACTAAAGCCACATTTAATAACCTATTGAAAAATTTAATCAACTAATTATTTAAACGTATTTCTTTAGGGTTTCTTAGGGTTATCTAGTTTTCTCTTCTTCTTTTTTTATCATCGTCGTTTTATTCTCTCTCTTTTAATGATGACAACATCAATCTCAGTATTTGTCTTGATAGTTTGTATTCATTGTTTTTACTTTGTTTTATTAAATTGTATCTTTGTTTATTTTCCTTGTTTTTAAATTTTTTGGTACAAATGTAAATGATGCCTTTGTACTTTTTAGAAAAATTCAATGTGATCCTCGAACTTAGAAAAAAATTCATTCACTTTGATTGTTACAATGCTGACGTGAAACTTCACGGTACTGACGTGACAGTTCATGGTGATTGGTGAAGTGGTTTTTTTTTGTCGAGTTCGAGAGTCAAATTAATTTTTTGAAAAAAATTTAAGGGCTTATTTGATTTGTGAAAAAATATTAAAAATTTAAAATATATGAACAATTAAATATAAAAATACTAAAAAAATTACAAAAAATTACAAAAAAATTAAAATATACAAATATTAACTAAAGTGATTAAAAATGTTGAATTTAGAGGTAAATTTTAATGTAGGTTTTATTTTATTTAGTAATATAATTATATTGTTATGTTCAATCAATTTGAACATTAATAAATAATTATATATATGTATTAATTTAAAAATTAATTAAAATTGAATAATTAAGAATAAAAATATAATTTCACTTAAAAATGATTTTTCATAATAAAAATTAAAAATTGAAACTTTTGAGGTAGGTAACAAATTACCTTTTTAAATAATAATTTTAATTTAATTTTTAGATACTAACATTATTTATGGGATGAAAAATGACTTTCTAGAAGAATTCCCAATCTTATGAATCAAATGAAACCATTTCATCAAATTCAGTAGTTCGACTCTTCTTCAGAAAGAAGTATTATTCTGCTCATCTTCTTCATCGTCTCTCTTCAAGTTCTCTATTTTTTTCAACACGAAAATCAAATCTTGACCTCTTTTCTTTCATTCTGGAAGCCATTGAAAGAGCTCTAGAGTATAAACCCCAATCGAAGAAACCACCGACAAGACAAAACCCATCCATTGAAGGAACCAGAAGATTCCCATTTTCCATTTAATCTAAAGGGAAACTGAAATAATCTTCAAATCGAAACTTCCCATTTCTCCAGAACCCTATAATTTCAAAAGAAACCTAGGTTCTGAATCTTGGAAAGAACAGCCCCATTTGATGTTAAAGCACATATCTTATCTTGACAACATTCCATCGACTCCGGGGAAATTCAAGATGGAAAAATCGCCTTACGTTCACAATAAATTGAGGTGGCACTCCTCTCTTATGAAGCTCTCAGTTTGGTCCTTTATCTTCTTGGCCTTGATCTTCATCTTCTTCTATCGATCCCCTTCCTCTAACCCCCTCCCTCAAGATCCATCTCGCCGCTCTCTCCGTGCCCACAACTGGGGTGGACCCGCTTGGGAAAAACGGGCCCGTTCCTCTGCCCGCATCCGTTCCCACGACGGCATCTCCGTCTTGGTCACCGGAGCCGCCGGTTTCGTCGGCATCCATGTGTCGACTGCTTTGAAAAGGCGTGGGGATGGTGTTCTTGGACTAGATAATTTCAACGAGTATTATGACCCTTCATTGAAAAGAGCTCGCCAAGCACTTCTGGACCGAAGTGGGGTATTCATTGTGGAAGGAGATGTCAATGATTCGACCCTTTTAAGGAAACTTTTCGAGGTCGTCGCATTTACCCACGTTATGCATTTGGCTGCTCAAGCTGGGGTCAGGTACGCTATGGAAAATCCTAGCTCTTATGTTCATAGCAATATTGCCGGTCTTGTTAGTTTACTTGAAGCTTGTAAATCTGCTAATCCACAACCTGCAATTGTGTGGGCTTCTTCGAGTTCGGTTTACGGGCTTAATAGCAAAGTTCCATTTTCTGAGAAAGATAGGACTGATCAACCTGCTAGTTTATATGCTGCTACTAAGAAAGCTGGTGAAGAGATTGCACATACTTATAATCATATATACGGACTTTCTTTAACTGCCTTGAGGTTTTTCACAGTTTATGGCCCTTGGGGAAGGCCAGATATGGCTTATTTCTTCTTCACTAGGGATATCTTGAAAGGGAAGACCATATCAATATTTGAAGCAGCTAATCATGGTACAGTAGCTAGAGATTTTACCTACATTGATGATATTGTGAAAGGGTGTTTAGCAGCTTTGGATACCGCTGAGAAGAGTACAGGTAGTGGAGGGAAGAAGAAGGGTCCGGCTCAATTCAGGATATATAATTTGGGGAACACTTTGCCCGTTCCAGTTTCGGATCTTGTGAACATCCTGGAGAGGCTTTTGAAGGTTAATGCAAAGAAGAAAATTATCAAGTTACCGCAAAACGGGGATGTTCAGTTCACTCATGCTAATATTAGCTTGGCTCAGAGGGAGCTCGGATATAAGCCCTCAACTGATTTGCAAACTGGGTTGAAGAAATTTGTCAGATGGTATCTCGGTTACTATTCCGGTGGGAAGAAGGCTGCTGGATAATCCATTCTTTATGTTATGGTAGGATCATCATCTGAATTCTTGTTCATTATCATTCTTAACATTGTTTTTCGACATTTCTCTGTTCTTTGCCCAATTATTTGTTGTTTCATATTATCTTTAATGATGACATATAAGGAGGGATGTCATGTCCTAGTTTGAAGCAATTTTGTGATCAATGAACATTGCTTGCTGTTGGGGGCTTGGGGCACTCCAAAAATCTTTTTTTTTTGTCATTTTCCGTGGACTGTAATTGTTATTAGTTTTGGCATTGTGGAATTCACGACTGGTAATAGCATGTGCTGTGATTGGTGAATGCTAGATCTTTGTGTCGTAACAAATTTTTTAAGGGTTGAACATACTTAATATAGCCCAAATAAAATTACTTGGTTGGTTCATTAAAAGTAATATATATTTGGGCAAACTAAGTATTTAGTCATTCAACTATTTATGCGGTTCTATTTTAGCTATTCAACTATTTTTTCTTTCCAAAATCATACCTAAACTTAGATTTTGATCACTCATCGTTAAAAAATTGTTGACGTGATAATTTTTTTATTTTTTTAACGATGATATGATATTTTTTATGGTGATACATTAGTGTCACCATTCAAATTTTAACGGTGGGTGACAAAAAATGAAATTAAAACGTAAACTTAATATGATTTAAAAAACTAATTGGGTGACCAAGATAAAATTGCAAGAATAATTGGGTGACTAGATACATAATTTACCCTATATATTAAGTACTGTTTAGACACAGCTAAATTATGCACTTGCAAAATGAAAAATACGGTCAAACATGTTGGGTCCCTCAGGTTCACATCTGATATTTGTTTGCATATTTGTACTGCATTTGTTCATCAAATGAAATTTAAGAAGAAAAATTGCAAATTGTACATTTCCACGATCTTGAGTGTAAGCTCTCTTCCAAATGTATTCATGTACCAGATTCGACCAAAACATGGGGACTGTAGGCCACATGATATAAAACTTTCCAAATCCCAGGCATTCATTCCCCTTCATCAATGTATCATAACTCATAAGATGCAGTATCCACTATAAAACCAAATGAAATCACTCAAAAATCATACTTTGTTCTCCCACTCTTCAAGATGAGGCACAACATATCTGAAATCTCAGTAGTAGAACTGTAATGGTTCCAAGCCTCAAGCATTAGGCGTTTCCTCGATCCTTTAAAATGAACAACCTACATCCAGTAAGATGGAAATTATAAGAAATTCATGCATGAAACAACTTCAGCATAAAATACAGTCAGATTTCGGATTCAGCTACCAACCAAAATGATCGTGAAAGACTTGCATACCTTGACATCCAGAGGCATGCCATGAAACTGACCAGCACCTTCCGGCGGTGTCCAATTATATTTAGCACATGGTAAAAACAGCACTGATGCACCACCAATCTGCTTGGTAAAAGCCTGTGCTTTACTAAATCTTTTTGCATCAAATGAAGCATCGGACTTTACAACCCAAAAAAGGGCCAGCTGATCTCCAAGCATTCGGGAAGCCTTCATGTATCTGGAGCTATATACTTCCAATACTTTTTCTAGAAAATATTTTGCCCTGCAGCAGTTTCACATATTCAGTTTCTTTAGAGAATTTTGGCTGCATATTGTCAAAATATCAAGAGGAAAGAAAATGTTTCTTCTAGATTCACTGCAGATATGGTAAGAGTAAAAAGGGGTCTCAAGTCTCAACCTTAAAATACCATCATGGGTACCCCTCACAGCAATAAATCCAGAATTCAGAGGCTGGTCTTTGTTGTTCCTGAAAGTAAGAGCCAAATGAAAATCTTGGTACTGTTCAAATATCTGACCCAGGTCATCAATTACAGCGATATCTGAGTCCGTAAAGATGAAATGAGTTATGTGCCCCTGCTCCTGAGATAGCTTCTCAAGCTTGATTTTGAGAAAGGTCTGTATGGGAAAATGGCAGTTTGGCAGCTGAATTAGGATAATGTTTTTCATAATTAAACTATATATTTTGGACTTATACCCATATGATATAAATTAACGGCAAAACTTTTCTACCTATATATCAATATGATGTGCTCTTACAATGTAAGACCTGATTCTTTGAAGCATCAACTTGTCTCTGGAATATTCACCCCGAATGGGAAGTACAGTAACTCCGTTTTGGTGCAATGAGAGATCTGATTCTGGATCAGTCAGAATAATAACATTGCTCTGAGGCATTCTCATCTGAAAGATTTAATTCAAAACCCTGATTATAGCAATTGACTCTAGGTGTAGAACAAATCCTCCAGAATAACTATACTCAATATTTATCAATATCGAAGTGGTTCAAAAATCAACACTGAACCTACAAACATAATAAAAACGACTTATATAAACTGCATAAAAGGCCACAGGAAAGTAAATCCCACTTAAAATAAATCCAAAAAATTCGCTAATGAATTCAATCCTACATCCTAAATTAGGTCTAGAATAGACATTATTCCAAAACTTAGAAGAATGATCTCTAGCACTATGTTTTCCTTTATGATACCAAAATACAAAATAAAAATTAGAACGATTCAATACATTACAATAATGCCATAAAACATTAGAAGACAAGATAATAACTTTAAATAAGAACTCGTATATAACAGAGACAGTTATTTATGAAACTACAAACAGCTCTCTCTAGCAGACACAATATTGTGTTTAACTGATTTACCTGAATGAAGTTAATGAAGACGTTCAAAATGGCCATCGATCTCTCTGGCTTGCTATAAGAAGCATTCCCAACAGTAACTGAGTTTGACAATCTACTATTCACAGGAGTTTCAGGTGAGCTGTTGTATATGGTAAAAACAGTGACAAATGCAATACCATCTCCAACACCAGAGGCATGAGATGGGTTTGAAAAATGGGTCTTGTTGAGAGCTTTAACTCCTGCAACATATTGAAAACATAATTTTCTATAAGAAAACATATATACATATATACATGTAGAACATCCAAGCGACGAATTTGGGAACTGGAAGCCCAATAAAGTACTTTCTTTCCAATAAGAATATCATATATTAATGAGCAAGCAGAGACAAAAAAAGAAAAGCGAATGTCATATCACATTTGTCAAGACAGCAGACTCCTAATCTCGTACCCATTTATTTCAGTACCATAGTTTTTAGAAGTGAATGCAAGTCTGGGGTTCCTTCTATCAAATTATTGTACTAGAAACATGGAAATTAGCAAGAACCTTGGCATTGCAAACGGTTGGGCAAGCCTTCTCCAGAAGCGGGTCCAAGAACAAGATGATCAAATTTCTTGGTTATTTTCTTGGGGGCTTCATCCCTTGCCGATGAATTCTGAACATCAAATTTCTTCGTGTTTTCCTTGGGGGCGTCTGTGACTGCTTGGTTCTGGTGCAATTCCAGAACTGAAAACATTAAAAAAGAATCAGTTAAAAGTCTTCAATAACAAAACAGAAAAAGACATTAGAAAAAACCCACAACTGAATAGATTAGTAGCAAAGAGGAACAACCACCAGAGAACAAGTGAGGAAGGATGAAAATAAGTGGGAAGCAAAGGAGGAAACGACGCCATCCAGCACAAGCTTTCATGCCTAATCAATCTTTCAATGAGGAGGAATTTTTTTCAATGGCAGTACAGAAATAGCCCAAAACCCGACTCTGCAAAAAAATAAAAAATTTAAAAATAAGTGGGAAGCAACCGCTTTCCAGAAATGAGTTATTATTGATTGATTCAAGCTAAATTTTCAAACCCCATCAACTTGCACATTCGGGAATCCAACATTAATACAAATCATAACGAGATATTCCAATTAGAGCTATAGTTTAGAACTCTCAAGAGCTAAAAGTATATGAATCTCAGATCAGGCAGAAAAAAAACATAACTATGGAAATTTTTACAAAATCAGAAAAAGACAAAAAAAAAACTAAACGATGAGATGCAGTACGAAGATAGAGAGAAGAAATTGAAGATATCCAAGCCTTAAGGGGTTGGGTTGTCGACGGAGCTATACAGAATAAATCTTTGATGAGAGTTCAATACAGAGATCTCAACGTTCTTTGAGAGTTCACCCGTCTTTTAATTTTGGGTAAAGTTCAGTTGAACCATGTTTAAAAGTTTAATAATTGTTAAATTTTAAATTTCAGGGTAAACTATACCTATAATCACTTGATTATTATTTCTTTTCACTTTGATCATCGATTTTTAATTTTTATTTCTTTTCACTTTGATCGTCGATTTTTTAATTTTATCAATCAGACCAAGTGTTGCAATCAAACTACTAGCCATTAAGATTTAACTGATGTATCTGTTAAAAAACTTAGTATAATTATAAATTTAATCTTCAATATTTACATATTTTATCAATTTAATCATAATTTTAACTTAATTTAATAATTTTTTAAATAAACAATTGATGACCAGGGGAGAATATTTTCCTACTTTTTATTTATAATTGGTATAACACTATTTTTCCATTCAAATTAATTTTCTATATAAAATCATATTTCTTGTATGGAGTTATTTTTCCATACAATGAACCATCTATTATAAAATAAATAATAATAACAAAATAGTAATAAACGTGATGGAAAGTTGTAGAGAAATGGATGCCGATGATGTAAATAAAACAAACTGAAACCATCTTTTATCAGATCAAAAAAAAAAAAAAAATCCCACGTGTTAAAAAATGTACAAAAGTGATAATTCAATTTTTGACATTTGACAAAGGTATAGGTCGTCTATCCGGCCATGATTCTATCTTCTCAAGTACTTGACGGGCACCACCCCATCGAACCCCTCGGTCAATATCACTTTGTTGTCTGAAATGTACAGCTTCATTCCTTCTACACTCATCAAACAAGACAACATAAGGACCTTTGTTTAACAAGGGAAGATGACATGACTCGAAACAAAAGTGACAAAGGCATGATTTGCAGATATTCCTTCAGTTTATAGAATCATCACTGCCCTAAAACTCGAAAGAAGTACACTTACCTTCCAAAGCTTTTCTAACATCGAGATAGATCAAAATGTTAACATCTCGTCTCATACCTGAAGAAAACGAAAAGTACCTAATCATCAGAAGCAAGTCAGCAACATTTAGCTTCCCCATGACTTGATTTATCCTGATTAGTGTTCTCCATTTACTATAATCGATTAAAGTTGGAATCATAAATCGAATCTTACTAATCCCATTTCATATTCTTTAGCATGAATCCTGTGGCGATCACCAAAGCAGTTTTTCATGTATGCTTAATTTGAATATTAAAAACCAAGAGTAAAATGAACGAGTACTGTATGTCATTGCTAAGAACATATGTTAAAGTTCAACGGACCAGAATACCCTATTGGATCTGTTAAAGAAGAATCATAAGAGATGAATAAGAGATATCATATCACTACAATCATCAGGTAAAGAGATTTTTCATGATATCTCACCACTTATCACTTCGCCATCAGTTGGCAAGCCACTTGAGAAGTGGACATGCAATCGTTTCATGCGCTTCAAACCTGACTCTAAAATTGATTCTAAATTCCTCTTATAGGTTCCATGTACGCAAACTGTCATTTCAGGGAAAATCAAGCCAATGAAGCAAAATAAAAGACTTAACACGAGCATCAATATAAGAGAAATGATGTTCTTACCTTGCACTTCATCAGCTGAAAGGATTTCTTTTAATAAGCTTTCGGACTCGATTGCCTGCAATGTGACATATCCTATCTTCATTAGATAGTGCACACACATCAACAAAGATGCTCAAAACAACAGATAAGCATAAAGGAAACTTCAGATAAAGAATGAATGAATTCATCACCGTTACAGTGTGACCTTGGTTTGCACGTATCAAAAGCTCCCCATTTTCTACCAGAAGGCTAAATCGTTGCTTATTATCCTTTCTGACGGCCTACAATAAAGAAATATTTGACCATGAATCATTAGAATTTCGAAAGAAAATCATAAAGCAAGACTATAAACATTTCATTTTTCCCCTTTGGGCGCCGTATAAACATTTTCCTTTCACTAACATCACTTTACACCAATATTTTAGAGACCAAGAATCTAAACTACGGCTGGTGATAGCTAAAATGTATCTAAAGAAGCTATTTTCATCTTTCACTACAAAAAAATTCATGTTTTAAGGATAGCAATTGGGATATTTTCAATCAAAACAAGAAACGATCCTCAAGTTTCAACAGTAAACAGAGACAATAAAATGCTTTCACAAATCCTACCTCCTTGATATCATCAACAGTGTGTGACCTTAAAGAAATATTTGCAAAAGTTTTCAAGTTCAGCTTCAACAAATCTTCAACTTTGACATAACCATCGTTTCTCATATTCAAATTCAGTTCGGTAGCCATATGCCGCAGAATACGAGTCCTTAAGATAATAAAACCAAAACAAAATACTAATTAAAAAATCACTTCAATCGAGTACACCCCATGGTTTTAAGCAAAAACAGTGGAGAAAAAAGAACTGTCAGAATGTTCTAAACTGCAACGTCGCTTACAATAGTCGACCAAGAGCATCAATTTTGTCCTTTCCCCCGCCACGGCCTCTGGATCTTTCTCGATCATTTTTCATCTCTTGGCCTCTTCCTCTGCCTCCACTGCCAAATCCCCCCAAAAAATAGACATCAAAATTGCTACCAAATGATCAAATCGATTATCAATAATTCGTGCCCAAATTTGAAAATACCTTCTATTTGAATGAGCGAAAGAAGAAAACGAAGACGACGACGACGACATATTGTTGTTAAGAATCGTCTTCTCCAAGAGGGTTAGGGCACGGAACCTGGAAACTAGAGAGGGGACAGGTGGACGCTGAGTAAAGCAACAGTATAAAATTCGAATGCTACTGTTAGCCAGATTAGCCCACATACGGGTGGTTTGATTGAATGCGAAGTTCTGAAGAAGATGGTAACAATGGCGGCAGGAAAGGATACGATTCGTTTGCTCCTCGTGGCTCTTTGCAAAATCTTTTGGGCTACGCATTAGATAGGTCCATTAGAATTTAATTAAATTGATTTTTCAGTGATTGTTTATTTTTATTTTTTCTCTCAATTTTATAAGACAAGAGATGAGTGAAATGAAATTTGAGGTTCAAACTATGACAATGACAAAAGGTTCTAAATCAAAAATCTCTTAATTGACAGTTATAACTAACAGATAAACTCACCTTTTACAACAGACATAAAATCACGGCAATACTTTTATTTTTCTATTTTCCCTCTTTAAATTCAAACATAAAAAAAATGTTTAGAACTAAAGATATATAGTACTATTATTTTTGCAATGTTTCGTAATTACACGACATTTTTTTTTACTAGGTTTCATAATTTGAGTGTTAATTTAAGCCACCTCAGTGTTAGAATACATATGTTAATCAAAAGAACCGAAGTATTTTATGACGGAATGAACTTTAAATATCTATTTACTATTTTATAAGTTTCAATGTGACATAAGTGGTATATAGGGGAATGAATATTTAAGTTGCCGGAGCTTAACTCAACAATGACTGAGCATGAACGTCTCATTTACACACCAATGGTAGACTCATAGAATGATTCTTTTAAGTACATGTAGAATATGTATGGTGGGTGATAGAGTAGATACTGGTTTATTATTTGGACAAAATGGTAGCTGCAAAACTCTGCTAGTCCTTTCAGGTTTGTTGCAGTATCTTGTTCAGCTAAAAACAGAGACAAGCAAGTAGATTTTCAGCTAAAAACTGGGCAACCTTCAGCTTGTATTCCGGGAGAAATGGGGCAACTTGCTAGGGGGCAGTGATCATCTAACTGGGCACCCCACCATTTAGGTATGTCGTAACCGCGAATTTTTTACTTGGCGGGAAAAGTGATGTGAATAAATGGTTTTTTTTAAATAATTTGGGAGTCGCCATCGGCCTTTTGGATCAGGTAGGTCGAATACCTAAAAATCATCATTTAAAAGAGTTTTTAAGAAAACATCGATTAAAAGATAAACTGATCTGCGTTTTAACCAAAAATTCGTTCTTTTTAATAATAAAAAGGGATTCGTGATCGGTTACGTTTAGGGAAGGATTAACACCCCTACAACGCCCAAAATTGGTACTTTTTAATTATAAATTGTCTCTATTATTTGAAATTTAGAAATTCAAAGATATATTTAATTCATAATTATGTTATTTCAAATAATTTAAAGAAAATATATTAATATGTATAAATAAAATATTTATTTATTTAGAAATATCAGAAAAATGACTTCTAAGTGTTTTAAGACAGCTCTTTTCTTCGATATTAAAAAATAAAATAAATAATTAAAAACATTTTCTTAAAAATAATTTATTTTAATATAATAATAATGAAAATAATAATAATTTAAACATATAAAATTAAAATATAAATAATGAGTAAGATAAATAAATTTAAAAATAAGTATATAAAAAAAGCAATAAGACTTATAATTAACATTAGTGACTAAAACATATAAAATTAAAATAATATAAAATATTAAAATTTATAGCCCTTATTTATAGTATTATAAAAATATAATTACTAATGATGTAATTAAACCTAAGTATTAATAAGTGATTAAAATTATAATTATTAAAATTAAAGACTCTAACTCGAATAAAAAATCTAAGTGCTAATAATGTAATTTATCCTTATTTAATTAATTTGTGTTAAAATGATAATTACTAAACTATAAGGGACTAAATTAGGTATTTATCCTAAATATATATATTATATTATGTAAAGAACTAAAATAAAATGAAATAAAATTACTAGATCGAATTATAATATATAGAAACATGCTATAAGGATCAAATTGAAACTTTTTAAAGTTATAGTGGCTGCGGAAATAGTTTATCCGAAAGCAAAATTATAGATATACCCCTCCCCAAAACGGCGTCGTTTGGGAAGGGGTATATAATCCCCTTCCAGCTGGCCCGAAGGGCCAGCGTTTCATTTCTCTTCTTTCTCTAACTGAGAGAGAAGAGAATTCTCTCTCGCTTCTCTCTAATTGAGGGAAGCCGGTCATCGGCCGGCAGCCGTCTGCCGCCGTAATCCCCACCGCCGGCCACCGCATTCGGTGGCCGGAAAATATCATTTTTACACCAAAATGTAGATCGGACCGTCCTAATGACGGTTCCGGTGTCTTTATTCCTTAAATGGCTCCTGATCGAAGCAAATCTAAGAAAATACCTTCGGTTTTCGAAGGTTTTCAGTGACTCGTGGAGGTTCGTATGAATTCCGGTGATGGCGTGGCTTTCTCGATAAATATCTCTCCGTCTTTTCTTGATTATTTTAGTGTTTTGTGGTTGCTGGGTTGCTTTTGATTCTCCTGTTGTTCTCCCTGTCTTTCGGTTCTCCTCCCTTTTTTCATTTTTGCAGGTACGATGGCTTTATAGCCATCTCGGTCGCTTGCTCGGACCGGTCTGAAGGATGAAAAGTTCGGTGAGTCACCAAAGCTAGGCTGGTGACTCACTGTAGGGAAGGCTGTTGGTTGCCATCTGGCGTTCTAGAGTGTTCCTTGAGGCGGCGGCGTGGTAGTAAGGCGTCGGCAGCAGCTGGTTGGACCATCTGGCTTGGGAAGTGTCGGCAGAGGCGGCTGTTGGGAGTTCTTGGAGGCGGCGAAGACGGCAACAATGCTAGGGTTTAGAAACCCTAGCTGAAACCCTAAATATTTAGGGTTTTATTTTGGTCTGGGCCGGTTTTGGTTATTTGTAACTGGACCGGTCCAGTTTTCATTGGGCCTGTAATTATTTTTTAATAATAATAATATATAATATAATAATAATAATAATAATAATAATAATAATAATAATAAATAATAAATAAAAAAATGGGTAAAAAAAATTAGTATCTTCAACTGCCCCTCTTTGCTCATTCTTGTGTTAACAAGAATAGGGCAAAGACGAAAAGATAATAATTTTTTTTATCCATTTGACTTCACTTGATTATAATGGTAATGTTGAATAATTTCTTCTTTGGGATTAGTTCTTCTAATTATGAACTTTTCTACTGGGGATGACAATTTATCTCCTTCTGTGATGTAATCTAGCAAAGGTTGAACAAGCTCTTTTCATTGTGAACTTCTTCTTCTTCAGATGAGTTCTTCTCATTGTGAACTTCTTCTGGAAATGCTGATGATGATATATCTCCTTCTGTGATAGAGTCATGCAAAAGGTCGAACAAGCTCTTCTCATTATGAACTTCTTCTTCTTTCTTCAGATGAGTTCTTCTCATTATGAACTCTCTCTGGAAAAGTTGATCCATCGAGTGATGAATTTGAGCGAAAAGTTGAACAAGTTCATCTCATTATGAACTTCTTCTTCTTTCTTCAGATGAGTTCTTCTCATTATGAACTCTTTCACTGGGGATGCTGATCCATCAAATGATGAATTCAAACAAAAGGTTGAACAAATTCTTCTCATTATGAACTTCTTCTTCCTTCTTCAGATGAGTTCTTCTCATTATGAACTCTTTCACTGGGGATGCTGATCCATCAAATAATGAATTCAAACAAAAGGTTGAACAAATTCTTCTCATTATGAACTTCTTATTCCTTCTTCAGATGAGTTCTTCTCATTATGAACTTTTTCTGGAAAAGCTGATCTATCAAGTGACGAATTCAAACAAAAGGTTGAACAATTTCTTCTCATTATGAATTTCTTTTTCCTTCTTCAGATGAGTTCTTCTCATTATGAACTTTTTCTGGAAAAACTGATCCATCAAATGATGGATTTGAGCAAAAGGTTGAACAAATTCTTTTCATTATGAATTTCTTCTTCCTTCTTCAGATGAGTTCTTCTCATTATAAACTTTTTCTGGAAAAGCTGATCCATCAAATGATGGATTTGAGCAAAAGGTTGAACAAATTCTTCTCATTATGAATTTTTTTCCTTCTTTAGATGAGTTCTTCTTATTATGAACTTTTTCTGAAAAAGCTGATCCATCAAGTGATGATTTGAATCTTTGAAATTCCTTCAAAATTCAACATGGATAAAATGAATGAAAATGCACCTATTTTTGCAAATATCTAAATATGATCCATGAATATTGATGCAATCTTCATTTGACTTCAAAATGGTGAACTCGGTTTTCCTCCACTTTATCATTTATTGCCAGGGTCACCTCTGGATATCAGTGTAGCAACTTATGCTATCAAGCTTGAATTTCTGAAGAACCATCTGATCAACTTGTATCTTTATGTCTTCTTTGCTTTATGAAAGTCTCAGAAGAATTGTTTCATTTGTGGAACTCTTGTCGTAGTCAGAACTATGACCTTGATGCCCCATTTTGTCTTGGATAAAACCAACTTTATTTGCTTGGATTTGTGTATAAATCCCATAAAGCTTTCATCTTTGAAAAGAGAGAATCTATCATCTTTAAAAAGAGAATCTATCATCTTTGAAGAGTGTAGATGTAGATATGCCTGACTCAGCAGGGATTAATTAGGAGAGTAGAGTCTGTTCTGATTTGACTCTTGAAACACATCATAAGGAGAAATTATCTCAACTCCTTTCATGTCTCCACATTTAATTCAATCTCGAATACAACAACTTGGACCATATCATGTCGAGATGTTTAACCACAACCTGTCGTTCAACTAGTTTCTTGTGGTTAAAATTTTAGCTCTCCTTCTGTGGAAAGAAATCTTCATCATATCTCATCTTATAATCTTGAAGTTGAAGAATACAAACTTCATCTTGGATCAAAAATGGAAAACATATGATCACAACATTGGTTCAACATCAGAATAACTGGTTCGTAAAACATTTGACAACACATTCTTCATCTCATGTGGTTTTAGTTCAGACATTCGTAAAGCGTTTGACAACACATTCATCCTTTTCTGTGGCTTCTGCCAAGATTTCTCAATCATTGAAGCTCTTTGCCTAGTGTTCAAAGATTTTGAATGATGTCACAAGATCATTTGAG